AAATGAGGGTGGGTGAGGGGGTCAGTAATAACTAGAGAAATGCTTCCTTATTTGCATTCTGTAACCAAATGGAATAGAAAACTAGATGCTTCATAACACCACTTCTTTCTAGTGCTTGGTTGTCCTGCACTGTAGTAAAATGTTTCTTTAATGAATCACTCTGTTACTCTTCCAACATTTTTTAAAGGCTTATGGGTATCAAATTCACAATCACAATTTCTAGGGTGAATTCAAGCCTTCCTAAAGAAAAAAAAAGTTCTCTCAGAACAAAAAAATCATATGAATATGAATGAGGAATAGTGCAGTGTGGAGACCCAAAGACCATCTGTAGACAATTGGACATCCCCTTACAAAAGGGTCACAAGGAAGTGACGAGCCAGTCAGGGTAGTGTATAGCATCATTGAAACATACAACTTTCCTCTAGTTCTTTAATGTGGCCCCCACACCTCACTGTCATGACCCCAATTCTACCTTATAAATCCAGCCAGGCCACAGCATGTACACGGGTACAGGTAAGACCTGGAAACCTAAGGAATCCAGGACAGATAAACCCTAGAGGACCAATATTGAGAGTAGTCATTACAAGGAGGGTAGCGGGGGAAAGGGAAAACCAATCACAATGATCTGCCAATAACACCCTCCCAGGGGGATGGACAACAGAAAAGTGGGTGGAGGGAGACATCAGTCAGTGTAAGACATGAAAGAGTAATGACTTACAAATTATCAAGGGTTCATGAGGGCCGGAGGGAGGGGAATAAAATGAAAGATTGATGGCAACAAATGTACAAATGGACTTAACACGATGGATGTATGGCTTGTGCTGAGTTGTATGAACCCCGATAAAATCATTAAAAGAAATAAATGACAACACCTGTCATCTAAGGAATTTCCCGTTAAGTTCAAACTGCTGCACTTTATACTAATAGTTGAGAGTTTAATCATGCGTACTATTCCGGGATGTCTTACTGCTGTTTGATTTTGTTGTTAGGTGCAGCAAGTTGACTCATATTGGCTGCATGAATAATAAACCGACTCACTGTCCAGTCCTGACCCAACCATCCTCACAATTGTCACATTTGACCCCATTGTTGTAGCCCTGTGGCAATCCAAAACATAGATCCTTCTCTTTTCCCTATGGCTGTAACCAAATATGAAGTCCTTTTCCAGAGACTAGTCTCTATTACTTATATTTGAAGTCTATGAGACAAAAGTCTCACCAGCCTTGTTTCTCAGACCCACTCTGACTGCACTTCCTCCAAGACTGTTTTATTCTGAGTACATGTTATTTTCAGTATTCAGCGAAACAACTCAAATGCATCAACTGCTCTCTGGTCTTCCTTAGTCACTGTCAAACTTTCACATGCACACAAGGTGAATGAAAATACCAAGGTTTACTTAGGTCAGGCTCACCTTTGTTTTCAAAATGACACCTTTACTCTGCTTTATGTCATGTGATTTCTTGACCGTTACTCCCATGAGTGTTGGTGATGGATCCAGGCAAAATGAATTATTTCCCCCTACTTACCATGATTATACCTATTAGTCCAGTTACGAGGATTGAGCTGTGTGTTACACTGAGTGAGATCCACACCGAAGGCTGCAGTCTTTGGTGTTCAGTAAGAACCTGGTGTCCTAGCATTCAACAAACGAAGTTGTTTCATCTAGCTATCAAAGCTTGTGAATAACCCATCAATCCTGATGCCTGGTTCTTTATTTTTTAACAGTTTTATTAGCATCCATTCACATGTTAAACAATTCAATAATTCAGTCATATCAAGGAGAGTTGCACAAATGTCATCACATCCAAATGCAGAACATTCCACAAGTTCTACATGTATAATTCAGTGCCACCTCATTCTTCACAGAAGCCAGTTCTAGAATAACCTGCTCCGCATATACACTGAATAAGTATGGTGAAGAGACAATCTTGATTTACACCTTTCCTGAAAATAAACCATGCAATATGCATCATGTCCCTACTCTGTTTGACCAACTGCCTCGTGATCTCGATACAGGTTCCACCTGAGCACAACTAAGTGTCCTGGAATTCCTATCCTTTTGAGTGTCATCCATAGTTTGATATGGTACACATAGTCAAATGACTTTAGAGTCAATACAACACAATTACACCTTTTGGTACACTCTTTCAGCCAAGATCCTTCCAATGCTATCCCTCATTCCATGTCCTCCTCTGAATCCTGCTTAAATTTCTGGCACTTCCTTGTTGAGGTACTGCTGCAATCACTTTTTAATTATCTTCAGCAAAATTTTAGTTTCATGTGGTATTAGCGATACTGTGCAATAATTTCCACATCTTTGGGTCACCTTTCTGCTGCACAGCCCGTTAAGGTTCACTGGGAGCCCCCTAGTACAGCCTGCTGACTCATCTTCCAACCCAGTGGACAGAGTTGCTCACTCGCGCTTCCATCCCGTCCAGACATGTTCCATTAATCACACCATGTTGCAGCTTGTCCACTTAAATAAGTTTTTTTTAACTAGAATGTATGTTTCCTGTCAAAATACTTCATTTTGCTGATTTTAGGTCTTTCAGGGATTTCCTCAGTTCCCCCTACTATCAGCTTGACGTGATGACTTGGCTTGGACAATGTAGGTTAAAGTAATATAAAAATCTCAGATTAAAAAAAAAACAATTTTGGGGGGGATGCTCTTACAGATATAACAATCCATAAATCAATTATATCAAGCAAACTTGTACATGTGGGATATAAAAAGACTTTTCTCCAGCTTTGTCTCCCCTCAAAAGATAGGCCAAACAAAAGAGGCCAGAACATGGTGGGATGTCAGGTGCATTCAGACTATGCCTGGCCCCACCACAGGTGCCCCCCCCTCCCTGCTGTTAACAACAATGGATTACTTCTCCCTGAAGGCTTTCAGCCCATAGTCTGGTCCACTGTAGGTGGGTTTCACACCCTACTGATAATGGTTTCTGTGGAGAGCCAAAGAGCAGGTCAAAGCTGGTAAGTGATATCCAAAATTAGGCTGCCTCCCTGAATCTAGGATCCACTCATCTTGTTACACATGTACCCCAATCCCTCCCTTTCCTATTGCATGTATACCCATAGACCATCCCCCTCTCATTCCTGTATAACCTATAGTATATAACCCATTCCTGTGACGTGTGTACCTGTAATTAGGGGGCTTGCATGCCCCCCAAAAGATATATAAGCCTTAGAAATAAAGAGCTCTTTCTCCAGTCCTCTCTTCCCTTCTTCTCCCCCCTGGTCCCCTAACCCCTGTCTCCCCTGCCCTGTACCACCAAGAGGAGCTGAGGTGAGCATATGCTACCATGAAATGTGTCTTGACTCCATTATTTCAAACTCTCTCCTATCTCTCTTATTCTTTATGACTTCACTGTAATATTTACTTATTATTGGTGTACAACTGTGCCTACTGAGTCTGTGATGATTTGTTAGGGGCAGGTTCCCCTGACATGTAAATATGTTGCCATCATCATTTACCCTTGATACATTATATGATTATTTTTACACTGTCTGCTGTATCCCTTCACCCAGATTTCTGTTGTTCGTCCCCCTTGGGGGGAAACTGATTTCTAAACATTGCTTGACTTCATCACCTGTGCGTCTTCTTCCTCTGATATGTGAAGAACATGCTCTTGCCGGGCTCCTCTTCCCACTAGGTTCTGCTGGAAAATATTGTGTCAACCAACAACAATGTATGAAGGATGACAAATAAGGCTGGGTCAATGGTTTAAACTGGTTTATTGAATTGGTGTGACTTTTGAGGGCCATGCATTTCTGCAGTAAAACTAAGCCTAAGCTGCTAAATAAAGCTTGCCTTCTAAAACAAAAAACTCGCCTTCCAACACAAACACTAATATGAGTGAATATAATTTACAAAGCAGATACTAAAGAAAGGGTTCCATTAATCTTTACAGAGTGCCCAAGATTTAGATACCTATTATTTTCATTTCACAGGAGAAAAGCGAGGATTTAGGAAGTTAGTTTATTTGTTCCTCCAGTTAGATATACAGCTATCAAGTACCACCCTACAGTGGAAAAGTCTCATTCCAAAGCCCCCTTTCTTCCCCAATGGCTACACTAATATCTACTGAAAGCATGACTACAT